ACCAAATAAAACCCCACTAAAGCAATCCCACCAGCCAAATAAAACCCCACCAGCCAAATAAAACCCCACTAACCAACCCCACCAGCCAAATAAAACCCCTCTAAGGCAAGCCCATCACCCAAGTAAGTCCAGCCCACCAGCCAGCAAATTAGGAACAAATGTCCAATTTTTTTTTGGCACTATCTTTAGAATTAGCTGGACACCTGTCCATGTAAGATGGGAACAGACTCTGCACCTCAGCCCAATGTTTTGTATCTGTTTTCAGGTGACAAAGCACAGCTGCCTTTCTCTCAGGAGCTGTTTTCATATATTTAAGAAGCAATGCAATGGCAGCAGAAGACAAACTGACACAGCATCAGAGAAATCTGCCCCAAATTCTGTTGTTCTGCCTATAAGGGCACCACGACAGCTCTGCCCCAGAATTTTAAGCTTCCCTCTCAGGCAAACACACCCACCAGACAGGTAAAGTGCCTTGTCCACCATGAACTCCTCAGCAAAGCGGATGTGGCAGAAGTTCTTCTTGCTCTTGCGGATAGCTATGACCTCCCCACACTGCTCAAACACCTCCATGATGATCTGCTCCGTCCCATTTTCCGGCAGGCCTCCAACAAACACCGTCTTGCACCCTGGGGGCCTCTCTCTCGTGGCTGGAGGGGGAAGATCTGGAGAGAAAGCAGAGCAGGTCGGGTTTTGGGTTGCCAGCACACATTCCTTCCACCTGCCCCTTCCTCCTGAGGGATGACCACACCTTCCTGGCTTCCTCCAAACACACACCTGGCTACGCCACGCTCAGATTTGTGGGGTGGATCCACAGCACTGCTGAGGTGCTGGATAAAAATGGGCACATTCACCAGCACGTTTCCAAAAAGAATATCTTGTGAGCATGAAGCCCTCTAAACACTCCCCTGAGCTGCTCTCAAAGAACACAAGCAGCACCAGGAGCTCCCAGCTTTATCATGGAAGGTGCTACAAAATCACAGCTTAAAAAACTGCCCTGATGCAAATAACCCATAAAAAAACATACTCAGGGGATTCCCTGTGCTGCAGCTGCAGATTTGTGTGCTTGAGCTACACCCCACACGAGCATCAAACCATGAAGACTTCAAACACTCAGTGACTGGAGCAGCTTTCTCCCCAGTCCTTATCAATCTAGCAGCTGAAAAGGCTGTTCTGGAAAAGGCAAACACTCAGTGACAGGAACAGGCTTTTCCTGCTGCCCTGTCACCCTCTGGCCAGCAGTGAGTCCAGGAATGGCCCTTCTCTCACCCACACCTGGGGTTTGCATGAACAAGCACAGGGATACCCTGCAGAGACAGAGCACAAGCAGTTACGTGGGTTGGGTGGGAACAGAGTGCAGCTCTTGCAGTGGATGATCTCCTTCACGGCCGGCATGTCCGGAGGGATGGGAGGTGGGACAATCCCCAGGCCTGGCATCATGGGGTTGATTGGAGGGATTCCAGTCATCATTCCAAGAGCAGGATCAAAATCTAAATGGGGGAGAGAAAAAGGGAGTCAAGTGGGGGAGTGGAGTCATACAGAGACTGGGAGCTCTGACAGAAAACGGGGAACGCTCCCACGCGTGCCGGTGAAAATCAGGAATGTGCCAACATCAAACTTTACATCTGTGCCCTCAAAATAATGTTTTAAAACTATTTCATTGCTCATTGCCACAGTCAAGTTACTTTTCTCTGTTAAAATAAATTACTTCCTTCTCTCCTCTGTGAACGCTGGCTCCCATCTTGTGTCCAACCCTTCCCAGAGAGGATTCTCCACAAGAGGACACCTGGGACATACGGGAACAGTGGAAAACCTGACTCAGCTTGGTTGTATTAAGTAGTTCAGCAGCACAGACAGTTGTGACACAGGCTTAAGGGCATTAGGAAGAGTTTGTACATGGAAAAGGTTGTCAGGCATTGGAAGGAGTGAAGTCCCCAGCCCTGGATGTGGCACTCAGTGCTCTGGGCTGGGGACAAGGTGGGGATCAGTCACAGGTGGGTCTCGATGATCCTGGAGGTGTTTTCCAGCCTGAATGGTTCTGGGATTTAGGGCATCATCTCACCAAGCAGGCAAGTGCAGCAATTGCAGCAGCTAAGGACCTGCCACAGCAGAAACACGGATCTGAGCCAATCCTCTGCCACCAACCGGCGCTTTTGGAGGAAGGGACAAGAAACCTTCCTGTTCCAACTGTGAAACGCGGATGTAGGAGTACATGGGAATTGTATCCTTATCCTGGGATAGGCTTGTGTTGATTTTTCCTTCATGGAAGAGTGTCAGCAGGAGAATGACACAGAAACACCATTTCCACAGCAAAGCCAAATGTGAAACAAGGCCTTGGGGACAGGAGAGAACTTTCTCTATCACTGCTGAGAGAGCTGGGGCTGTTCAGACTGGAGAAGAGAAGGTTGTGCTGTCTGCCAACGCAGACATGCCCTCCCCAGGTGAGCAGGCAGGTCTTATGGCAGGGAGAGTTCTTAATGCAGCAAAGCACTGAACAGTCAGTTCCATTCAGGACTTTGATGTCCAGCATCCTGCACTGCTGGAAAATCAGGCACAGCTCAGCTCTGCTCCTGCAGGAGCTCTTTCATCCATACCAAGGTGACTCAGCCATGCAAATGTATCTCACACTACAAGGTGGTCACTTCTGGAGCAGAAACCTCCATTCATTTCTGACATATCCATTTTGCTATCCCTTTGCTTTCCTCTTCACCTTCCTCCCATCCTTCCTTACCAGCCAGTTTAGAGTAACATGTTCCTGGCTATCACTGGTTTCCTGACCTCTGTGTGGCACTCTCCTCCTCCTGCTCCCCTGCAGGACACCTGGGGGTACCCCACAATCACAATTATTTGCATTCAAAAGCGTGTATTCTCATCTCCTCTCAGTTCAGGCCTCTAAATAAATGAGGTGCAGCACAAATGCGTTTCAAACACAGCTGAGTGCTGGGAGTTCAGCCCAGCCCAGTGCTCCAGGCTGTTCCCAAGGAGCTGGGAGCTGTATCCATCCCCAGAGCTGTATCCATCCCCAGAGCTGTATCCATCCCCAGAGCTGTATCCATCCCCAGAGCTGTATCCATCCCCAGAGCTGTATCCATCCCCAGAGCTCACCAGGCAGGAGGGGCTGTCCTGTCATGCCCATGGGAGCCATGCCCAGGTTGTTCATGGCGGTGGCCCAGGCGCTCGGGTCGGACATTGGCAGTCCCATCGGAACGGAGTCCAGGCTCAGATTTCTGCCACCATCTGTGGAGAGGAACACAAGTGATTAAGGGCTTAGAGCAGATCTCAGCTCTGCCCAGCGAGGCTCTGCAGTGTCAGCACACAAAACCAGAGCTAAAGCCACTCTCAGGGAAGACCCAGGAAAAAAAAACAACCAGGACCTGAAAACACCTGAAAGCACCTCAGTTATGGCTCACCCACTGCAACTGACAGCTCTAAGGGGCCTTGAAGGACCCTGATTAAAGGTAAGGGGATGCTGATTCCCCACAAGAGATTTAGGAACAGAGGACACATCCAGCAGGTATAAACAGCCAGACCTCACTGAACTGAAGGGAGCTGTCCCAGCAGGATCCTCCCACTGCCAGCGCTCTCTCAGCTCATCAAAACCAGCACTGAACGGTGCTGTCAAGTCCCTGACCCTCCTTCAAGGGCTTTTACCTCTCAGTTGGACCTTCTCTCTACCTGCTGCATTTCACCCTCTCTCTGCAGCTGTGGGCATTGCACATCACCTTCCTTCTGCCTCATCCTCCCCCTCTGCACCTGGAACCTCCCCAGGGAAGTTCCTGACTCACTCCCACACTGCTCATCCCAACCCATGGCACAAGCAGGCACCACATCTCCCCAGTCACACTGCTGGGATTGCAGTTTTCAGCCACAAAAATGGATAAGACACTTGGCTTTTTTTAAGTAGAATAGTTAAATTTTTATTTACATCGTTTATATTACTATTAGAAAGTCCCGTGTTTTATTTTAATTGGTTAGTAATTTATTGAAATTTAGTTTCTTGGTTGGTAATGGATTGTGTACATGTTCATAAAAATTTTTATATGTTTACATTTTTGTATATTGGGAAGTGGACATTTTGCATGAGTTGTTTTTTTACAAGAATAGATCGTTGTGTAAACTGATTTTCATTTTTATAGTTCTTTTCTCATGGGACGTTATCAGGCTAGCTGTTAGCTTAGCTGAAGTAACAAGGCCTGATTTTACAAGGCCTTTCTTTCCTAAGGTTTTACCTATTGTAACAGTTTTCCTGCAAAATTCCTTGATCTGACATTACAATATCATACAGTTCATTTAACACTTTGTTTTTATGACATTATCTTAAATGTGAATGTCTCCAGTCATTCAGCCTGAGCTGCCTTATCCTGCTTTTAATTAACCGTCATGATTTTAATCTTGAGGTTCTGTTCAATTAGGAAAATAAATCTATTGGGACAAGTAGAGAGAACCACAGAAGGGTTTGGGTTGGAAGGGACATGAAAACCCATCCAGAGCCACCCCAGCCATGGCAGGGACAGCTCCCACTGTCCCAGGCTGCTCCAGCCCCAATGTCCAACCTGGCCTTGGGCATTCCAGGGATCCAGGGGCAGCCCCAGCTGCTCTGGGCACCTGTGCCAGGGCCTGCCCACCCTGCCAGGGAACAATTCCTGCCCCATATCCCATCCATCCCTGCCCTCTGGCACTGGGAGCCATTCCCCACTGCTCTACCCCAGAGCCCAAGCCTGGCTCCAGGCACAGTGGTGGGGCTGAGCAGCAGCAGCAGCAGAGCACAGCTCCCCCTGCCCAGCCTCAGGACTGTGTCCTGCCAGCAGTGGAGCTCACCTGGGGGAATGCTGCTCCTCTTCCTCTTCCCCGGGTCACTTCCATCCTCAGCCGGGCTCTCAAGCCCCAGGGACTCAGTGCTGGCAGGGTCAAAGGACAGGTGGTTTAAACCTGAAAGAGAAAAGCACACTTAGAGACTTGACTTACACTGGTTTGTGATGCTTCTGGATCACTGGAGTGAGAGAAATGCCCGGTTCCAGGCACAAGCAGCACGCCAGGCCCTGAAGGAATCCTGACTCCTGGCCCCAGCTCTGTCTGATCTGAATGTTACACAATAAAATATTACTCACCAGCATCAATTCCACCACCCACACAAACCAAACTGCCTGCCAGAGTAAGCCAGGGGCGCATCTTCCCTGGGTTGAGCAGCATTTCAAGGCTGGAAACTCAAAGGACAGGATTTTTCCCTGTTTCTTCAGTCCAGGAATACATTGTTAGGAGCTACTCAAGTCTCACCAGCTGAGAATTCACCTGGAGTGATTTACTACCAAAAAACAAGGCACAACTGAGAACATCTTCAAAACAAGAAGATTCTGCTGGAATTTTTGTTCAAGGAGTCTGGCACACAGCTGCTCCTGGTCACGGATGTGGGAGGGGCTCTGGGATGCAGATCCCACAAAGGGGAGCTCCAGAGCTGCACCCTCCTGTCAGGGAGAGCAAGAAGGTCTCCTGTGAGCCTCCTTTCTCCAGCCTGAAGAGACGGGTCCAGGGCCCTGAACTCACCATTGAGTTCCTCCCTCCACCTTCTGTCACAGTCAGCACTTGCAGGGATGCAAGACCAAAGGAATATTGAAATATTGAGTTTGATTTGTCTTTGTCCCAGCAAATTCACCCTGAACAGCCAATATGGAAAAAAATAGAAAAAAAAAACCAAAGAAATCTTTTTTGTGGACCCATATAAAGTGATAAAAATAAGCACATTTCTAAGGTGCTCTGTGTTCCCAGGGGAGTCAGCAGAACCATGACAATCATCCCACGCCAGGGCACTGATGGGCCGAGGCATTTGTAGCAAACCTTCCTCCAGACCCTCTGCAGCGCTGCCATTTCTGTTCCAGAGGATCCCACTTCCAAGAACTTCACAAACATGGCTCTTGGGGCTGGCTGTAAATAGCCAAGTGGGTGCCTGGAGGGCTCCTCTCCGAGCCACTGAAAGGTGAGAACACAAGAAGCAGCCAAAAAACCAAGGACTATTCAGCTGGCAACAACAATAGTCACGCCCGGCCATGCAGGATGCCTACAATGCTGTGGCTTAAATATTCCAAAGTCAAAATATCATGGAGGTCATGAGGGCTCAGGAAAACAAATCTGAATGCAGTAGGTTAAAAATAGAGAGCTTGTGCACTGGGAAGACAGCAGGAGAAAGGAAAAGGAGCGGCTCTAAGCTTCCATTGGCATTATCCATGAGATAGAAAAGGCAGAATTGAACTTGAACAAGTTTTCCTGCATTTGGGAATAGGGAAGGATGGGGAGAAGCCAGACCCTGGTGTCACAGGATGGACAGACACCCTGCTCTGAACACAACGCTGGGGAGACACCTGGCACTGAGCAGCACCTGAATGGACACTGCTCCAGCACTGCTTCCCAGCCCGCAGGGGAACACAGGCAGACGCTCACCCAGAGGATTTCCAGCCCCAGCTGGAGCTGGGATGCTCAAATGTCCCAGCATGTCCCCAGGGCCAGAAACAAAGCAGCCATCAGCTGGAAGGCTCTGGGTGGAGACACCTGTGTGACCTGCAGTAGGAGCCGTGTCCTCAGGGCACACCAAAACAGGACCAGCTACCATCCACCAGAACCTAACAACAAACATGGAGCAGAAAAGCCACTGGGAAAGCTCTGCTCTCACTTCATCAGGATGGAGAAACAGCAAATGTCCCAGGAAAGCAAAGGGCAGTATGGAAAGTGGGAGATGGAATCTGTAAGAAAGGGACCTTGCTTGCAGCTCTCTCTTGCAGCACAGTTTGCTCCAAAAATTAATACAAGCCACAGAGAAGATTCCCAACACAGTCTGGAGTAAGAAACCCCTCATTATGTCAGATTTGCCACCCTACACAGGATAAATGCCATGGACAGCAGCCAACTTTCAAACCCACTTGCCTCTCTCCTGTCATCACAGCGAGCAGCCACAGCTCCAGCCACCCTGGGTACAGAGAACTCAGAAAGCTGAAGCTGCAGAAAATCCTCTCTCCTGGGCTCTGAGCAGGATAAAAGCTGAAAGGCTCAACCAGTACAGCCAGGAGGCACAAACAGGAGCATCTCTCTGTCCTTTGTGCCAAGCACAATGAGGTGTCCTTGGCCATTCCAAGCTGCTCTGCTCAAGAAGGAAGGCACCAGCACAGGAGCAAACCACAGGGGTTTGTTGTAGTGAGCCAGCCAGGGCCTTGGTTTGAAAAGACAAATGTTTGCTAAGGAAGGCAGGAGCCCCCCTTAAAATGGAAAAAATATACACCCCCTCCCTCTGAATTATTATAATTTTGAAATTCAGGGGCTCTCAGGCAAAGATATGGGAGTAGAAATAACAGTTCTTTACTAGGATGTATAAATAATAAAAAAACCCCTACAACTTAATAGGGAAATGAAAATAAAATACAATAGTAGAAAAAGCACTGCCAGAGCCAGAATCCAGTGTGATACTCTGCTGGGCAGGGTGTCGGTAGCAGTGGGATTAAATGGTGGCTGCAGCCCTGGAGTGCCAGATGTGGCTCTGGTGAAGCTGTGACCCTGTAGAAGGGGGCAGTTTCCCTCTGAAGGCCCAGGGCTGCTGTAGATGGGTCCTGTTTTCCTCTGGGAATCCACCAGTGGAAAAAAGGCTGCCTGTGGTGTTCCAAAGCTCAGATTGTAGCCAGGTAGGAATGCTTGGCTCCTCCCCCTGGGTGGAGCATCTCCCAGTGGGATGATGGAATTTTCTCAGTCCTGCAGTGAGACCCAGTGGATCATTAAGAGCAGAGATCCCCCTGGAGGGAGGATGGGTCCTGGAAGGGATCAAGAACACTGCCCCAGCTGGTTTTAGCAGCTGGTGATAGAATACATCCCTCTGGTTACACCTTGCATTGCAACCCAAGACACCTGGAAAGGCCAAAATCAGATTTCTGCATTTGCTGGGAAATGCTACACAGAAGGTAAGGGGGGGGGAGATCTGGGTTTCCAGCAGCAGCAGAACTGGTGTCAGCACTTCCAGAGCCATATGTGACACAGGTGTCAGTGTGCCCTTCATCTCCCTGTTCCTATCTGCAGGGATTTTCAGAGGACTCCATTTTTAAGAGTGAGACATGAGGCACTGCCATAATGCAGTGACTAAACATTTAAAAATAAAAACTTGGGCTAGAAGATTCGTCAGCAGAAAAACAGATCAGGGAAAGAAGGGGGGATGCTGAAAGATGAGCAGAAGGCAACTCTGAGCAAGGCCTCTCCCACAGCACAGCAGGTCCTTGTGGGTGGTTTTCCCCTCTGGAAATAGGTGCTGAGCTGTGATGGGAAGAGTCCACAGCTTCCCACTGGCCTAAGCAGCACTGCCAATGCACAGCCCCCCGTCCCACGGGGCTGGGATCCGTCCAGGTCTGTGCTGGGGCTAAAATCAGCTGCAGCTTCCACAGCACAGCTTCAGAAAGGGGCTGGGGAGAGAGGAGAGATCTCAATGTTCCAGGCATAAATCTAGGGAAGTATCCGTCCTCACTGGGTCCTGTGCCAGACCCGGGACAGGTCTTGGTTTTCCAATCCTGCACACAGAGCTGGGCCATTGCCTTAATGACCAGGGGAAGAATAAACCCCAAAAAGCCCCTGAGGCCAACTGAAAATCCCGTTTTAAGATCATTCCCAAGAGCTGGAAACACTGGAAATCACAACCAAAACAAACCAAAACACAGGATTGTGCAGCTCCTGTGCAACGCTCCTGGGACCATTTACAAACAAGCACGGGGCTGCCACCTCGGGATTTGGGCAAAATGTTCCCTGCTGGGTTCAGGAACGTTCAGTTCAGTGGTGGCACGAGCTCTGCCACAAGCCTGGCGCGGCTCTGGGGTGAAGCCTGAAGCTCCAGCTGCAGCCTCACTCTGCCCAGGCACTGCAACAGCTTTCCTGCCACCCAACCAGTTAATAAACAGCAGGAACATAAACCTCTGCCCCAAAACTCAAATTACAACTATTACCAGCTATTCCAACACTGTCACACACATAAAAGCCTTTCAATGATACTCCAAAAGCCTGTGCAGGCTGCTGCCTGGCTGGTCGTGTTTTGGGGTGTCCTGGAACCCTCTCAACTACTCTGGGTCACACTTTGGGGTGCCCCAGGTCCCTCTGAACCCCTCAGGGATTTTGGGATCCCCTGGGCTCCCCTGAACACATATTAGACTTCTCTTACTGAGCATCAGGGGAACTCCAGAAATGGGCTGACACAGGCTTTACTATAAATATGGATTTACCTTTTGCCAGCATCGGCAAATATAGGAAATAAGCAGTGCTCAGTCTGAGCAGGGTGCCTGTGGTTCTGGGAATAAACTGGATTCTGGATACACTGTGCCACTGATTACACAGTGCTGGTTTTAAGCCCTCAAGAAATGAACTTGAGAAGACACCAAAGTACACCTGCAGCAACCAATTAGAACACAAGAGAAAAGAGACCAGCAGGGAAGGGAGAGGAGAGGAACACCGAAACTTTGAAGTTACATTTTTGATCCCAGTCATTTCCTTTTGGAAACTAATTCCCAGGTTCAAAAAACTACTGCTGGGCTCGTGCATGTTCCTCTAGCACAGTCCTGGCTTAATTATCACTGGTAGAGCTCCCCAAGCAGCAGTCTGAGCCGGGAGCTGGCCAGGCACACTGATGAGAGCAGCACAGTTCTGAGAGTGACTTCTGCCAGCTCCAGCTAATCCTGCAGGGCAGCCCAGACCCCCCCGTGTTACCTGCGAACTGCACGAGGAACATGGCAAGATGCTCATCGTAAGGCACGAGCTCAGACAGCTCTCCCACTGCTCCCAGCTTGGCTTTGTGTCTGAAAATCCCGGTGCCACGCTGAGCTCCCTCGCTCAGCCCCCAGCACCAGAGGAAAGCTGGGACCCAGTGACAGCAGAAGTGGCCCGGGGCAGGCAGGACAGCCCAGGCTGAGAGGCCAGGCTGGCACCCAGCAGCTCCACGTGTCACCATCCATCTCCTGTGACTGACACCCATAGGCACATCCCAGGATGCGGGGGACGGAGGCGGATGAGCAGGTGGGGAGGCAATTAACAGCCAGAGCGTCTGAATTTGCCAGGGATTTCATCCATCACTGCTCTAAGCACTGGCACGCAGCTCAATAAACCCTGTTTGCATGCCCGAGATTAGTGGCCTTTGCACTGAAAGATTAATTCCTGGTAATCCTTGATGGTAAGAGGCACTCTGCTTGCTTTCCTTGATTCTGGAAGCTTGTATTTGAAAGAAATAAATTAATTTCAGGCAGCTAATTATTCTAGCAGGGCTCTATAAAACCAAGAGACACAAAGAGCCCCTTCCTCCTTTGCACCCGAGAGCGCAGCGGTCAGCAACTCTAGTCAGGAACGCCAACCTGCAGAGTTTTCACAAAAATACAACCACAGCAGCAAAAATAGGGGGATTTGACCAAATCCTGTATAAGCTGTACTCTTCACTCAATGTTGTAACCCAAAACAAAGGAAAAGCCTCCTTCCCAGCACGTGTGTACACACATGTCACCAGCAGCGACCTCACACAGCCCTCAGTGCTTCCCAGCAAGGGAGCCTGCCATGTCCACCACGCCAAATTATTAAAAATTCCATGGAATGCTTTCAGGATGCTCACAAGGCTCTGCCAAACCACCCTCCCTCTGCACACACATCTAGGAATTCTAAGCCTGGGATTTCCAGGGGATGAGCTGCTGCAGAGCAGGCGGCTGCAGGCAGCTCAGTCCCATCCCTTTCTGTCCTTCCAGACCCCCTCAGCACTCCTGAGAGCAACATCCAGCTCAAATGCCACCCCAGAACAATGCTCAACAGCTCCTCTTTTCAGAAACCTCTGTTTGAAAACTTTGATGGGCAAAGGGATGCAGGACTAACTACACAGAGCTACTGGGGAACAAAAAGAGGGGGAAGAAGAAAAAAAAAAGAGGAGAAAAGGGGAACACATAAAGAAAACTCCAACAGAGCCAGCAGTCAGGATCATCAGAAACTCCCAGTGCTAAAGCTTGGACTGATGGGCAAGAGAGCCTCGTGGAAAGCCAGCACCAGCGTGAGGAGCTGCTGGCTGAGAGCGGAGCAGCTGGACAGGATGGACATGATGGAACTGGAATAATGTCAGCAGAAAAGTTGGGGATTAAGGGAGAAATCTCACACCATCTTTGGAAGGTGTACAGAATACCTCAGTAGCAACACCTGATCTTTGCAGCGACTCGGTGATTGAACCTCATCCCTGCTACGAGTTCCAAACACATTGACCTTCAACACAGAAACCTGACCTCACCCCAGCTCCCACACAGCTTTCAACAACTCAGCTCAAGGGCCTTTTTAATTAGATCCTCAAAATTCCTCAAATGAGCCTTGAAGAAACAGAGAACCCAAGCCCTCGGCTTCCAGCACAGGGAGGAGTACAGCTGGAGTAGGAAGGAACACAAGTTGGAAGGACAAACTCCTACCCCAGGCCACCTCCATCCTTTCCCACCGTCTCAGGGCTCTGCTTTCTGCAGGAGAATATGGAAAAATACAATGGCCAATTAATGTAACTCCAGAGAAGGTAAGGATGGTGTAGACTAACAAGGAGCTTACCCAAGGATTAATGTTTGTGTAACAAACACGTGGCACTAAAGAACAAAAACATCTCCCCGCAAGGACGGACGTTACTGGGAGCGGCACACGGCACCAAGACACGAGGAAAATCAGAAAGTAAAGCACATAAACTAAAGCAGCTCCATGTAAACGCTCAAGGAAGCAAATAAACACATGTGCAGCTACAAGTTCCAGTCCAGGGCTGTGGGAGAGCTGCAGCCCACGGCAGCTGTGGGCACCAGAGCTCCGCGTGCTGCCCACGGAGCGTCTGCTGCGGATCCAGCACAGCCCAGCCACACGTGAGAGCCTGGCACAGAGCACAGCCAGGGGCATCCCACCTCGGGGGAATGCTGCCACCTTCACCCCAGCCCTTCTGGAAACTCGCTCTTGGACTTTATCATTTCTTCACATGCAGCCCATTTCTCCTCGTGCTGCTTTCTCTGTATTAAAAATAACAATATCACATTGTCTTTCACATTTATGTATTAGTCTTTATGTGTTGTTATTGGTCATAACTATTTGGATATGGTAAAATTCCCAACTCCTTTCAGCTGCTCGTTAGTATAACACAATCTATTAGTTTTGCACTGTATAGCCCATAGAAATAATCATGTGATTAATACATTATATAGGTTATATTATACTATAATATAATGTAAATAATATATAATGTAAATAATATATAACAGATATAACAGAAAACAGATATAACACAAAACAGATATAACACAAAACAGATATAACACAAAACAGATATAACACAAAACAGAGATAACACAAAACAGATATAACACAAAACAGATATAACACAAAACAGATATAACACAAAACAGATATAACACAAAACAGATATAACACAAAACAGATATAACACAAAACAGATATAACACAAAACAGATATAACACAAAACAGATATAACACAAAACAGATATAACACAAAACAGATATAACACAAAACAGATATAACACAAAACAGATATAACACAAAACATAGATAACACAAAATATAGATAACACAAAATATAGATAACACAAAATATAGATAACACAAAATATAGATAATATAGAAAATAGATAATATTTATTTTATATATGAATATATTATATTTATGTATGCACCATATACCTTACAGAAATAAATATGATGACTATATTATACCTATGTATGCATCCTACAGCTTATAAAAACAGTGGTGTGATAAATGTATTACACTGTCAGCCTTAGCAAAACACGAAATGTTAAAATGCTTCTATGTAACCAAGAGAGCGGTGTGAAGCAATTATGTTGTTTTTCCCACATCTGACTGTCCTCTCCAAGCCATAAGGTAACAGTGACACAAAGCAGAGCACCGGGGAAGAGTTGGAGAAGAACTTGTTAACTCCTCCTTATCAGGGAAGTGTGAAACAACAGGATGAAGGAATAAAATATATTGACCGGATCTATAGGATGTCGTGCAGATAAGTCAGCACGTAAGGCCAAACAAAAGAGTTTCTGCAACATCAAAAGCTCCCAAGAACGTCTGAATAATGTACGAGACACATAAATATGTATAGACCTCAGTAATGTAACAATATATAGGTAACGCTGTCTAAATGTGCCGGTGTGTTCTTTGGCCAATAGCCAGAAACAGCCCAGCGCTGGACACTGCTCCTTCTCATCCCCTAATTAAACTGTTCAAAATTCTGAAGAGCGAGCTGTTTTTCACAACAGGATCGTTGGGACTGAAAGAGACCTTCGAGATCATGCAGAGCCAGCAGCAATAACCCCTAAAACACATCCCCGAGTGCCTCTTCCAGGGATGGTGCCTCCACCCCGAGCAATTCATTCCAGTGCTCTGGTAGGGAAGGGACTGGTGCTAATTCCTCACCTGAACCTACCTTGGCACGAGCCGAGGCTGTTCCTTCTCACCTGGAGCAAACACAAGGTCCCGACCTGCGGCTGAGCAGAGCCAGAGGGTTCCCCTGAGCTGAGCCCCTTTCCAGCTGCTCCTGGTGCTCCACGCCTTTCCCTGGGCACTCCCCATCTTTCCTGACATCATTTTAATGTCCTTTGTGAAGTCATTTTAGCTACGTCTGAACCCGAACAGCGGCCCAGACACTTCCCATATGGAATAAACTTTGGCACGCAGCCTCCGCAGCACCCAGACGGCCCCGGAGCCCGGCGGGTGTCCCCGCGGGCTCCAGGAGCTCCCGACAGCTCCCCCGAGCTCCCGCCGGGCTCCCCGGGCTCTCCCCGGGCTCTCCCCGAGCTCCCGCCGGGCTCCCCGAGCTCCCGCCGGGCTCCCCGAGCTCTCCCCGGGCTATCCCCGAGCTCCCGCCGGGCTCCCCGAGCTCTCCCCGGGCTCTCCCCGAGCTCCCGCCGGCTCCCCCGAGCTCCCCCAGGCCCCGGGCCGAGCTCCCCGGCAGGTCCGGCCGGGCCGGAGCCGCGCTGGAGGCCGCCCGTGCCCAGCGAGCCCCGCTGCCGGCCGGACAGCGGCCCGGAGGCCGAGGGAGAGCGGGGCGGGCCCTCCGCACGGCCGGGGAGCGCTCCGGGCCCGGCTGCGGCTGCCGCCCGCTGCGAGCCGGGGCTCCGGGGCAGGGCGCGGCCGGGACGGCCCCGCTCCCCGCAGTCGGGCCCTCTCTCGTTCCCCGTTCCCCGCACTCACCGCCCGCCCGGGCCCGGCCGCTCCCGCACGCGCCGCCGCTTCCGCCGCACGCCCCGCCCCGCCCCGCGCGCCCCCGCCGCACGCTCCCATTGGCTGCCTCAGGGGAAAGGGGCGGGGCTGGAGCTGCGCGCGCACCGTGACGGGCACGTGACGGCGTCCGGCGGGGCGGGAGCGCGCGGGGCGGGACCGGCCACGCCCCCGGGACCGGAACCATCCCACCGGGACCGGAACCATCCCACCGGGACCGGAACCATCCCACCGGGACCGTCCCACCGGGACAGAGCAGCAGGCGCGGCTCTGCTGCTCTCGCCCTCCTTTCCCCCTCCCCGGTTCTGTGCTCGCCCCCCGCGGCCGCTGCTGCTCCCCGGCCTCGGGCAGAGCCGCCCCCGGTGCCGCCCCCGGTGCCGCCCCGAGCCCCCGGTAGCGGAGCAGAGACCGGCCGGGCACAAAAAGGCGTTTATTCAGCGCAGGACAGCGGTGGGGCGGGCGCTCTCCATCGTTCCCGGTCCCCGTGTGCGGCAGGACGGCTCCGTCCCCCGGCCGCGCTCCCGCTCCGGCCGCTCCCGCGGGCGGGGCTCGGTCCCCGCGGCTCCCGGGGGAGGGACGGGAGCAGGCCCGGCCTCACCGGGAGCGGCTGCCGCCCCAGGGAACCGCAGCAGGGTCTGGAGGTGAATGCGGGGCCGGAGCCCCAGCTGTGCCAGCCTGTGAGCTCGCCCCGGCCCTGGGCTCGCACCGGGAGGAGAGGGGGCAGCGCCAGTGAGAGACCCAGAAAGGGACTTGTGCCTCCAGCTGCACCTTGTCCCCAGCCTGCACAGTGTGACAATACCAGAATGGTTTGGACTGGAAGGGACCTTAAAGCCCACCCCATTCCAACCCTCTGTCATCATCCCAGGCTGCTCCCAACACCAGCCTGGCCTTGGGCACTGCCAGGGATCCAGGGGCAGCCCCAGCTGCTCTGGGCACCTGTGCCAGGGCCTGCCCACCCTGC